GGTCTGGCTTACTTCACTTAATATAAGTTTTTCCATTTCCTAACCAATGGGGTGGTATTATTCTTTCTGATAGAGTCATAGAATTCCAGTGTGTGTGTGTATGTGTGTGTGTGTGACATTTTCTTGATCCATCATGTACTGAGGGTGTTATACCGAAATTCGGGGACCCCCAGAAGACCACCAGCGACCACGATCAATGTAAGCAACAAAGAGCCGGTTTATTGCAAGCTCGAGCTTGGTCCTCCGCGCACACGGTAACTGGTGATGCTAAGAGGCCCTGAGCATAGAATCAGGGCCGTTTTTATAGTATTGAACAAACAACTTTTAGGAACTTTTACATAAGAAATTACATGATTGGTTAACATTTACATTTAAAGCAAGCTAAACTGGGCAAATAATGATTGGTTGACCTTTACAGAAAAATGTCCTTGGTCCATAACTTGACCAGAAAAAGGTTACGATTCACACCCAAGGTTACCAGTCACACCCAGACCAACAGAATGCATGACATGTCTCGCCCCGGGCTCTGAAGAATGGGTTGGTTAGAAACTCTCAGTCCTAGGTGGGTGGGGGGCAACACCACTTGGGGGCTAACACCTGCCCTAAGCAAATGCCATCTATGGCTCCAAGAATTGTGCATGGCTTTCTGTCATAAATTCCTAGCATTGGGGCTAAAATGGATCACGAGTCAAGTCGCAGAACTGAGATGAAATGTTAAACAAAAATGGAGTTGCTTAGGTTTCTTAAAACATTATATTTCTTCCCTAAGGCCTTACTGCCTCGGCCTCCAGGAGGGGTGTTGCAGCTTTGGGGATGATTCTGAGGACTGTAAACCCTTTGAAGTCTTTTACTAAGCAACTCTAGGCTCCCAGGCTGACATCCCACAACTAAGTAACTAAAACCAGTCACAGTTAAAAATCATACAAAAACCATACAATCATCTAGCACAAAGCAATTCATACAGAAGCAAAAATGGCTGTTAGGTGCTGTCTTTACATGATTTTTTTTTACGTTCTTCAAGGGGCATCTAGATTGGTTCCATATCTTAACTATGGTGAATAATGCTGCAATAAACATAGTTGTGCTGGTAGCTTTAGTATGGCATTGTTTGTGATCCTTTGGGTAAATTCCTAAAAGTGGAATTGCTGGACTGCTGGGTCATAGGGAAGCTCTATGTGTAGTCTTTTGAGGATCTACCATACTGCTTTCCAGAGTGGTTGACAAGTTTACACTCCCTCCACCAATGCAGTAGGGTTCCCCATTGGCCATATCCCCTCCAGCATCTGTTGTTACTAGATTTCTTGATTATAGCCATTCTAACTGGGATGAGGTGGAATCTCAAGGTTGTTTTGATTTCCATTTCTTTTATGGCTAGAAAAGTTGAGCATTTCTTCATGTGTCTATTGGCCGTTCTTATTTCCTCTTCAGAGAAGTCTCTCTTTAAGTCTTTAGAGGTTGCTTCTTTGAGGATTTGTTGTTGGAGATTCAATATTTTGAGTTCTAAGTATATTTTAGATATGGGATCCTTGTCTGTTGTATGGCTAATGAATATCTTCTCACAACCTGTGGGCTTTCTATTGATCTTGCTAGCTATGTCCTTTTCCATGCAGAAGCTCTGCAGCTTCATGAAATCCGATTTGTCCAACCTTTCCTTGATTTGTTGTGCTTCTGGGTCCTCATTAAGAAAATTTCGGACATATACTAGTTACTGCAAATTAGGGAAACCATGGGACCTATGTTTCTTTGGGCCTGGCTTACTTCACTTAATATTTCCAAGTCTTTCCATTTCCTAACAAATGAGATGTACAAGATCTTTACAACTTTGGCAAGGTTGGGGAAGGGGGAGAAGTAGTCCTGGAGATGGAAGGCAAGATGATCGGGGGGAAAAACAAAGGAGGAGGCAACAAGACTTGATAAGAAATGTACGTCTTACCTTGCCCTTGTCATTGTAAATCCTCTGTATGGTATTTTCACAATAAATAACATTAAAATTTTTTTCACCTCTGCCTAGGAGCCCTAGAGTTTCTCTTATTCCTTTCTGTAATAGTTTCAGGGTGTCTGCTGTGACTTTGAGGTCTTTGATCCATTTGGACTTGATTCTGATGCAGGGTGATATATAAGGATCTAGTTTTAGTCTTCTGCAAATGTTTAACCAACTTTGCCAACACCATTTACTGAAGAGGCTGTCTTTCTTCCATTCTATTTTTTTAGCTCCTTAATTAAAGATTAGGTGGCTATAGCTCTGTGGGATCATTTCTGATTCTTCAGTTCTATTCCATTGGTGCTAGGCTCTGTTCGTATGCCAGCACAAAGCTGTTTTGATTACTATGGCTTTATTCTAGAGTTTGAGATTTGTTATTGATATTCCTCCAGCACTGTTAGTTCTGCTAAGAATTGTTTTGCTAATAGGGGTCTTTTATTGTTCCATATGAACTTTTGGATTTCTTTTTCTATTTCATTGAAGAATGAAGTTGGGATATTGATAGGTATAATATTGAATTTGCAGATAGCCTTTGGCAATACTGCCATTTTCACGATGTTAATCTTCCCAATCCAGGAGCATGGGAGATTTTTCCACTTCCTCAGTTCTGCTTTGATTTTCCTTTCTCAGTTTTTAAAGTTTCCAACATAGAGAACATTCACTTCTTTAGTTGACTCCTAGGTATTTTGTTTTGTGTGGGGCTATTATAAAATGCTGATTTCAGCTGCACTCTTCTCATTCTTACCAACAGAATAGCAATTGATTTCTTTTTTTTGGGGGGGGGTCCAGTCATGGGGCCTGAACTCTGGGCCTGGGCGCTGTCCCTCAGCTCTTCATCTCAAGGGTAGTACTCTACAACTTTAGCCACAGCACCACTTCTGGGTTTTTTCTTTTTGCTTATGTGGTGCTGAGGAATAGAATCCAGGGCCTCATGCATGCAAGGCAAGCGCTCTACCACTGAGCCACCTTCCTAGACCTAGCCATTGATTTTTGAGGGTTAATTTGTGCCCTGTTATTTTGCCAAAGAGTCAGATCAGCTTGAGTAACTTTGGAGTGGAGTCTATGGGGTTCTTTAAATAAAAGATCATGTCATCTGCAAAGAGAAAGAGTTTTACTTCATCTTTCCTTATTTGGATCCCCTCTATGTTTGCATCTTGTCTTATTGCTCTCGGTAGGCATTCTAATACTAAATTGAATTGTCAGAAATTTTATCATAAAAAGATGTTGATTTTTTCCCAGTGGTATTTCTGTATCTATTGTGATGGGTATATGACATTTTCCTGATTATTACATAATTTCATTGTGTCCTGGGGAGAGGAAAACAATCAGAAATTATAAGGAGGTAGTGTCTGCATATTTTTTAAATATGAGATAGAGTTACTATTTAGCCTAAGCTGATTTCAAACTTAGGATCCTCCTACCTCTGCCTCTTGAGTGGAAGATTACAGAATGTAGCACCACCTACAGAATGATTACACACTTTGAATGCACTAAATATCACCAAATTATATACTTTATAGTAGTTAATTGTATCTGATGTGAATTTCACCTCAATTTTTAAAATGGGTCATAATCTTATATTTAGATTAAGTGATAATTGTATAAATTAACTGTAGTACATCTAAGACTACTTTAATAACTTCCTAGACACATGTATTGCAGTGAGTTCAAGTGTTTCAAGCATCTTTTCAAAGTGTCATTTGATATTGATCTTCTCCATGTGCTCCATGCTTACTGCAGCAATTAGATATGGAAAGAAAAAGTGATCTCATATAATTCTTATAAAAATATATGCCAATCCATGGTATATGTTACAGATAAATATAGACAATTTGAAGCTATTCATGCATAAATTCTGGAAATTGTACATGGATTTTTCAACAGCATACATCTGGGGAGAAGGACCCAGATTTTAGGGTCAATTGTGTTTAATTGTTCTTTTAACAGAATTGAACACAATCCTTCACTTCCATTACAGTAAGAACATCAGCGCAGTTGTTTAGAAATGCTTATTTTGAGGTCACTGTGTGTGGCTCCTTGAACAGAATAGAGAAAATGCTAAAAGGACAATTACTGACTTTTAGCTGCATGGCCTGCTTTCTCGTGACACAAGGCATCAATTTAGTAACCCCATTGTCTTTTGGAGAATCAGCCTTCTCTAAAATACTTTAAGTAGTTTGGGTGAGGCTGATTCCAGACTTCCTAAAGATGTAAAAGTGCCCCAAACTTATACTAGTCAATAGATTGAACTTTTAGAAGTCAGCACAAAATTTGTTAATTCTGTTCAATAAAGTTCAAGTACAAAACTTTTGTTAAAAGCATTGAAAAGAGAGATGGACTCCATCATCATAAGCATTTGTAATTAAATAAGAGATGTTTAAAATTCCCTGGTGAAAGAGAGGGAGGGAAGGGGTGACATTGTCCAAAAGTAAATGCGCTCTTTACCTAATTCATATAACTGTAACCCCTCTGTACATAAGAATAAAACAATTTAACTCCCTTGTGAGGAAGCTATGGTGACACAGTTTAATGCACAATGGCCATGCACCATGGCTCTCCTCAAACTGTATTCTGGTTACTAGCATCTCTACCACCCCTAACAGATTGTCAACTCCCTGAGGAAAATGGACACAACTCTAGCAATGAGCACACAGAAACTACACTCCTAGATTTCACAGCACAGCATTGAAAACATGGGTTTCTCAGGCTCCTATACCTCTACCGGTCAAAACCACATCCTGCAGTCCCCACCTCATACTCTTGGATTCCTGCCTGGGCAGGAACAGGTGGCTGTCTCTGCATCCTCAGCTGTGGGTACCGATGTGGTCACTGTGTGATTCTCACACAACCACTCAGAAAGACATCATCAGGCAAAGAAAGGAGGGGCCAGGAGTAGGTGGACTTCATAGAAACCCTTCTACAATGAATCACATGGTCTCTGACCCTACTCCACCTACTTCCAATGCTAGAGGTTAAAAGTAAGCAATTTCCAGATGCAGTTCTAGAAGCTGTGGCCTGAGCAGCCTTCCTGGGAGGATGCAGCTTCTCCTGTTCCTGTTGGCCTTCTGTCTGCCCCCCACAGCAAAGACAGGTGAGTGACCACCCCATCTTAGAGGACCAAACACATCCCAAAGCAGGCACAAATTTTTGTTTCTTCTGCATACCATGGATCCACCTACTACAAACACTCTGGATCTCAGCTCCAATACTACCATAGAAGCCCCAGTATGACACTGGATGACCTATCAGCAAGAATGGGATGGGAGACATTGTTCTCTTAGTCTTCCCTAAGCCCCACCCTTATCATCTTGAAAGTAAGCTAAAAGGCATGACAGAGTATAGTGGGAATTTGGAAAGGAGGAAATAGGGAAATGTCCTGGAGAAGAGACACTATGTGTGGCTTCTGTGTCTGGAATGAGGTGATTGCTCTCTTTAGCAACTGCTTCACAGGCAACCGCAGAGCTCTGTTACCCTAGAATTGGCCACTGTTTTGTTTTTGTTTCTGTTTTTTGTCTTTGCTCAATCCCAAACAACTCATCCTTTTCTCTACCTCTGTTATTCCTCCCAGTCCTCTGGTGACCCATTAACTTCCAAGTAGGACCTACTGTGTCTGACTCCCACTTCTCTGCTTTTCAGAATACCACCAGCACTGCCCTACCAATCGGGACACTAAGTGGAGCCATTCCCCAGAGAAGCCAGCAAACATATCTTATTTCCCTAAGAAATAGGATATAACAACATCTGGATTTAAATTAAAGTCTTGGGCACTGGAAACAAGTTTCATTTTAGACAGTGCAGGACTCAGGAGGATCTTAGAAAATATCTTGAAGACAGTAAAATGAGAAGAGATTTATACAGAGTCGTAGGGATTGAAAAAGTTATGCTCACTGAAGCTATACCTGGAAAAAGTGTTTATAGCCCAAGACTTGCTTTTCTTTCTTTTTCCAGAGGAGGAATGTGAAGTTTCTTGTCTAACCCCTTCCCAACTGCAGGTCATCTCACCTTCCCAAATGATATGCAGGACAGCGCTATCAAGGTGAACTCAGAGGTACACATAATGAGACACACTTTTCTTCAGGGAAAATCATCGGGGGACATGAGGCCAAGCCCCACTCCCGACCTTACATGGCCTACCTTGAAAACCTCGATGGGTATTCTCTGAGGCAGTGCGGTGGCTTCCTGATCCGAGAGGACTTCGTGATGACAGCTGCTCACTGTTCAGGGCGGTAAGGAATAGGAGAAAACCCCAGGCCTCCTGTAGATGCTCCTTAGAGAACCCACCTTCTTTCCAGGAAGCTCCCTGGGCTTCTGGAAATACATATGCAGAATATGAATTCTTTGAGGATAAGGAACAGGGCTAAGCCAGACCTCCTGGGAAAGGGCAGCAAATTGGTACCAGAAACATCTCTGAGAAGCCAAGCTTGTGATTCTTAGAGCTAGGTTGGTAATACAGTGGAAATTAAACTGATTGTGAAGTTGGACACTGGAGGCTCATGCCTGTAATCCTACCTACTTAGGAGATGAGGATTGTGAGATCTCAGGATTGTGGTCCAAAACCAGCCCAGGCAAGATAGGCAGTGAAACTCTTATCTCCAATAAACTACTAGAAAACTGGAAGTGGCACTGTAGCTCAGGTGGTAGTGCTTGCCTTGAACTGAAGAGCTGAGGGACAGCGCCCAAGCTCAGAGTTCAAGCCCCATGACAAAAAAAAATTGATTGTACTCTGGTACAGTTACCAATGGCTCCAGAAGTCTACTTCAACAGCTAAGAAGCAGTGAGGTTCAATCACTCCTCTCTCCTCCATTTTCCCTCAGCCACAGCCCAGCCCTCCTCTCTGTAGCCTACTCTTAATATTTCTTGGGCTGTATCTCCTCTGCTCCCCATCCCCTAACCACACTGTGCACTCTGTGCAGCTTCATAAATGTCACCCTCGGTGCCCACAACATCAAGGAACGGGAGAAGACCCAGCAGGTCATCCCTGTGAAAAAAGCCATCCCCCACCCAGGCTATAATCCTA